TATTCAGTTGCTAACCAAAATATCTTTGGTGTAACACCCCCAGCCATTCAATGTAGGAAAGAGGTGGCAGTATGCTTCTATAAGGATTAGAGCCTTGGAAATCCTATGGAGAAGTTCAACTCTGTCTTATATGGTCTCTATGACTTGGAATCAACTCGACCGATGTGTGTTTGTTTTATGTATTTTGAGTGCCTTCCAAATAAGGGAGCTCCTCTTCCAATCACTGTATTGGATAATATTCTGTTGTAATCCAAAGGGTTTTCACTGATTAATTTTGAGAAGTAGATCTCCAGGTCTTTCTTTCTTCCTAGTCTGTCTTAATCTGGAAGCTCAGCTGAAACCTGTCTACTATGGGTGACTTTGCTCGTATTTGGAATACTACTGGCATAGCTTCTAGAATTATAATAATACCTAAACCACCACAGTATGACACACTAACAGAAGGGTGGTGGATCTCTCAATTTAGGACAGGCAATTATGACAAATGTTCTCATAGAATGGTGCTGCTTTCCTTTAGAACAGTTATTCCCAATTGTAATCATACATTCATTCATTTAGCTATATGATTAAAGTTGCCTTTCACACTCAGCTAGAAGCTACATGAGGCTATAAATCGTATCTATTTTTGCTGTATGTATGCTCACGACCTAACACATTTTTCAAATACAGAAAATATTCAACAATTATTTGTCAAGTGACTGTGTGAATCAAACAAGCATAATCAATGTTCTCCAGTAACATTTCTCATCTCTTCTGACCCCCTGCTCTGTCATGCTGTTCATTCCATGCTCAAAGTTCTACCATTTTCTCTCCACATTTTATCCAATTGTATAGCCCTATCTCAGTGGGCACTTTCTTGTCTTTGCAAGTGAACACTGTCTCTGCCTCCTTTGAAAACCATAGCATTTCACATTTGTTCTCTTGCCATTGAGTTACTATTCTGTGCCGTTTATCCCCTTACTAGTTCATAGGTTTAGGGGGGACAAGGCTGATTCGTTTCTTCTTATATTACCTGTAGTAAATAACACATTTCTCAGAGGCTTAATATATTTATTTTCCCTGTTGATTAATATGAGCAAAAGCTTAGATTGAACACATAGCCTATGCTTAATTAATATTTCTATAAACAAGGAAGAATCATTATAAATTCTTTGCCATCAACAAATCAAATACAATCACTAAACAGCAGTACAGTCATGGTGCCCAAAGCAAATTTCTTCAGTTCTGACCATATTATTGTTTAATAAATTTATTTATTATATGCAGAAAATTTCCCCTATTCTTTTCTCAGATGATTATAATTAGGCTCAGTTGATATTTCAGGGGAATTGTTCTTTTTCTACTTTACTATAAGACCATTATTGTAAAAACTTAAGTAAAGTTTTTCAGACTAAAAGAAACATTCTTTGACATTTACCAGGGGTGAGAGGGAAGGGAGAATAATTTATAGGCTAGAGGGTAGATACATATTAGCTTGGCAAATGAGGAGGGCAGTATACAAGAAAAAAGAGAGTGGTAGAAGAATAATGAAATAGTTGAAGATACATGGAGGTATGATTGGGATGAGGGAGATACGTGTGAACAGTGATATATACACAATGCTGGAACAACATTGTTCTGGACATAGATACATGGATTGAGACATAGGCTAAGTGTGTAAGGGAGGAAGAGTGAGACAAATATATTTTTATGTCCCACAAATATGTAAGAGTTTGAAAGAGAAAAAAGAAACATTCTTTGACGGTTGCCAGAG